AAAAAAAGTTGAATTTTCCATTCTTTAGAGGATGGTACTCTTTTTCCCAGCAAGGTTTCCTACTCTACTAAAGAGTATCATGAAGAAAAAGTGATAAAAACTGCTTTTTAAATCATCTGCTTAGTCCAGTGGAGGGAGGGAAATGCACTAGACTATGGTGATTGCACTGTGTGATTTGGTGATGAGAAGCCCACAGGGATTGCCACTGAGATGAAAAAATGTACAAAAATATGTAAACATAAACTATTATAAAATAAAATTAAAAAATCATCTGTTTGCTCTAGAAAGGTTTATCTGGAACTCTTCAAACAAAGTTGGCCACAGCTGGGTCACTGGCTATCACTCACTGCTGACCGGAAATTTTAAGAGAAAGTGGCAGCAATAAGCAAACTTCACTTCTTTGGATCATCATCCCGAGCTGTCAGGCCCCCACTCCTCCCACCACATCCTGCATGTAAGCAAATAGGAAAGAAGAGTTCTGATGGATCTAGTCTCACTGTTTTTCCCGAGTGGCTTGGCTGTTCTTAACCACCACAAGGGGCTGAGTTCACAGTGTGGGATGAGGAAAGGTGGGGAAAGAAATGACCACCTAGGACCCTGACTTGTTACCAGTAAGTCAGCCAAGGCTTTGGATCAGACAATATCTCAGACCCCACAACTTCACTTTCTGCTCCCAAAGCTTGAGAATAGTAACACATACAGGTGTATAATCTTCCTAAAATGAGATTAAACTCTCTCCAACATGATTTTTTTTAACATTTATTTATTTATGCGTACAGAACTTGGGTACAGGCCAGAGGTGCAGGGGCAGTGAGAGAATTCACCAGAGACAGAGTGGGGAGTGGATCAGGCAGATCAACAAAGTACACTGCTGAGGGGAGCAGTGGGCGGGTCAGGAGAGGTCTGCCATGCCATATGGATCACCTCCGGGGCAGGCAGGATAGGAACTCATGCGGAAGTGGCTTTTAGTTTCTTAGTGCCATGCTTTAACCTGCTGTGCCACCCGAGAAGGCCCTCCACCATGATTCTTATTTGGGTTTCAAAGCCAACTGCCATCAGAAACCATTTTTCATAAGTCTCTAAAGAACCATTCATTGTGTATACACACACACACTAACAAGGCTGCAATATTCAAGCACTTTTAAATTCATTTAAAGGTAATTAATTGGGTTCCTACAGGTAGGACCTACTGGAAAGATTCAGTCTGATATTTTAGAAATAAGGGGTAAACGTGAAAAGTTCTAGTTTGTGCCATAAAGAAAGCAAGAACTCTATGAGATATGAACCCATAAATATAAACATTAAATTAGTAAATGATAGCTATTTTCTATTTCTGTAGTATAGGGTCAGCTTATCTGGGTTAAAATGCCAGCACCACCAATTTTAACTGCTAAATGTGCAACTTCTGGCAAGTGGCTTCATCTCCCAAAGCCTCTTTTTTCTGCCCTGAGAGGGAGGAAAGTGGATAATTAAGCACTCACTTCATAAGATTGTTGTGGGAGTTAAATGGGAGAATCTCTATAAAAAATCTCCCACATAATAATAGTTGGCATCACGCCTGGATCCAGCAACTGCTGGACATCACCTGTAGTAAGACTTGTAGTGAAAAGGATGTCTTGGACCCCAGGTCTTAGAGGCCTGCAGGCGGACTAGAGAAGGCCTGGGACTTAACCTTTCTCCAGAGGACTTTGGGTTGAGTCAAGCATCCTGCTTCTCTCAAACAAGAGCACTCCTGCCATCTTGTGCCCAAAGGCAGCAAATGCCTAAGTCTCAATGCCAGGGTCCCTTTCCTTTTGTCCCTTCATTCATCAGTCTCCTTTCTATTCCAGGCTCCCAGACAATAGAACCACTTGCCTTCCTCAAAGCTTCATGCTCTCTATACTCTATTTGTTCAAAATAGCTCCCCGTGCCTGGCATTCTCTTCACTCTCTTGTCTGCCAGGCAAACACCCGCTCCTGGTCTCCTCTAAGAAAGCTTTCTTATGTAGACACCTAAATGGCTCACTTCATTCTCCCCAGCAGGACCAGCTACATATGGCACATGTCTGCCCCCTCCTCCTTCACTCATACCCCCTTGTGAACACTCATCCTTAACACAGAGCCTATGACTAGAGGCACCCAATATGTGCTCAATAAATAAATGCATAGTGTAGTGAGGTAGGGGGCAGAGCTAGGCCATTCCAGAAAGACCTGTTCCAACTCAGAAACAGCTGGTATTGCTGGCATGTAAGGGCTTCCATATCTATTGAATCTATCACCCCTGCATAGCTTCTGAGGCTAGAATTTTTACTAGAAACATGCATCTATCAATGAACCAATGATTCTACTTCAAGAGCTTTACCCAAGAGAAATGGAAATCCATGTCTGTAAATGACATAGCTCCTGATGATAATAACTGATAACTGGAAAAAAAACCAAATGTCCATCAACAGGGGGATGAAAAATGAATGTGGTATGCTCATTCAATGGACTACTATTTGGCACAAAAAAGGAACCCATGACAGTTCCATCTCAAAAACATAGGCTAAGAAGTCACGCACACACAAGAAGTACACACTGAATAATAATAAAGATATGAAAGTCTAGAAAGAGAAAATGGAAATGAAAAACGAAAGCAAGTATCAGTTGCTGCCTGGCATCAGGGTGAGGGTTAGGAGGTGAATGGGCAGGGTTGGTTACAATTCATCCAAGCGTACACCTAAAATCTGGGTATTTATCCATATGTTAATTCTATTTATTATTTATTTAAAATATAAAGGAGAGAGGGAAAGAGGTAACCTGAAAGGCCATTGAACGTATACTCTCTGGAACCCAAGTAGCCCCAGAGAGATCAGTTTGGATCTCGGCCCTGCCCCAGGCCACAAGGGGACGGAGGTGGGGCTGGAACCTGGCGAGAGCGCGGCCGCCCTGCAGTTCCTCCTCTTTGCCGCCAGGCGGCAGCGTGGGCGCAGGCAGGGTGGGCCTCGGTGACCCGGGAAGAGGTGGCAAGGGGGCGGGCCCGTGCGCGGGAGTCCATGTGGGCGCCGGCGCGGCGGGGAATAGCGCGGGGTCGCCATGGCGGAGCTACAGCAGCTCCGGGTGCAGGAGGCGGTGGACTCCATGGTGAAGAGTCTGGAGAAAGAGAACATCCGGAAGATGCAGGTAGATGGCGGGTGCCGATCCGGGGAGAGCTCTTGCTGGCCTTGATTGCCTGACCCTTCCCGCCGCCCCCGCGAAATGCCCCCAGTCGCTGTATCCCTTCCGGCGGACCCGAGGGGGACGTCGCAGGGGTCGCCGTGGCTCCGCGCACTCGCCTGACCCTCAGACAACTTCTGGAGCTCGAGCGAGCAGATGAAATCCGTGCGCCCTAGCCGCACTGAAGGCCAATTTCCACTTCGGCCAACCCAGGGTAGGCGGTGTCCACAGGGCCAGGGTTAGAAAACCCTTGGTGGGGGGATCATCCTCCCCCACTGCGCCACCCTTCCTGCGGATGAGCAGCCCGAGGCCAAGAAAGGGCACGGCCAAGGTGAAAGACCGGAAGGGCCAAAGTGCCTTTCAGTGGCTGATCATGCCGTCTTGTGTTACACCGAACTGCACTCCACCTCGCATTGGGTTAAAGTGCCTTCTGCTTTAATCCCTAACGTGTTGTGGCACTTGGTCCTGCCTCCCTAACCGGATTGTGGGTTTCTCTTGTCATTCCCCTTGAGGCATTGATTAATAGATCAATGGATCCATGGATTAATGGATCCCAGTAGAATGTAGATTAATAGGTTTCTGATCTCAGAAGCCTGTGGCACAAGCACCGAGTTTTTAGGGGTTGGGTTAATCTGACCCACTGCACCTTCCCTGCCCACCCAGCTGTCTATGCAACAAGTGCTGAAGAGCTAGCAGCAAGAAGGCCCTGAAACATTGTTAGGCGGGAAGGATGTTTCCCACCCAGGGTTTTAAGATTCTGATGTCTGTCATAAGGAGATGTGCAGATATAAATGTTCTCTGTTGTACTCATAGCCATTCTGTCCCCAGAAGTTCTCCTTCTTAACCTCACTCTGCCTTTCCCCAGGGTCTCATGTTTCGGTGCAGCGCCAGCTGTTGTGAGGACAGCCAGGCATCCATGCAACAGGTACACCAGTGCATTGAGCGCTGCCATGCACCTCTGGCTCAAGCTCAGGCCCTGGTGACCAGTGAGTTGGAGAAGTTCCAGGTAAGGAATAACCCAGAAAACTCTAGTTCTTGATGTTGCTCTTTTGCAGGAGATGAGAAGCATTTATTCCAAACTCTGGGCTTTAGTGACTTGTTTCTGCTAATATTTGTGGTGATCCTATGACCAAACCAGTCTTCACAGGGTTTGAAGTTTGGGGAAAAGTTCTAGAGGTTAACTGCTGCATTTCCCATAGAAACAGTGATGTAAGGGGCACAAGGGCTCAATTCTCAACACTGTCAAGCTATCGCCAGCCACTGCAACCTGAGTTCAAAATCCAATAAGGGAGCTGACCCAAATGGCACAGCAGACCTCTCATGTCTCGCCTGCTGCACCCCTCAGCAGTGTATTTCAGTAAATTTGCCTGTTCTGCACCCCACTTTGTCTCTGGTGAATCCTCTTAATCCTGCCCCCACATGGTCTATATCCCAATTCTTATATATATATATATAAATAGTAAATCTTTAAAAAGAGAAATAGTGATGTAAAAGAGAGCTACGAGAACTCGTAAAGCCTATGTTTTTTGGGGGGAGAGGAGCTTGTTGTTGCTGTTTTTCCATGTACATCAAATATAGGTGTATATACTACATAGAATAAGGCTTTCATAAGCATATCAGTTCATTCTGACAATAGCAGAATGCTCAGGACAGTAGATTAGAACAAGATCCTACCGTCATTTTGTGGACATCAACACCCATCCAGGACTGTCCCTACTGGCTACACCAGAAGGACAGCTCAGGAGTCATTAAAGAGCTGTCACTTGTAGGCAGCACTGTTACTGTTGACTCACTCCTGCCTGCCTCATAAGCTCCCCTGAGGTCACTGAAAGACCAGTGTCACTCTTTGAAGCAAAGGGTAACTACAACTTCATTTAATTCCCTTCCTCTGAATATACTTTTCTGGAATTTGGAGATAGCAGAGCCTTCTGACCAGTTTTTCATTGCAGAAATTCTGCTCTCATAGAAAAATTATATCTAATGTGATACAGCTTTTACATTTTGCTATACAAATTTTTTCAAAATTACTCACACTGTTAGGACCAACTTTTTCATGATTATGGAACTCCAAAAGGTTTCTTTATGTTTATTTTGACAGCTTGTTTTGTAACTAGGATCTTTAAATTTTGATTCTTAAATTGCTTTATAATTGTCTCCTTTTGTTGACTTTTCAGCCCAGTCAGACTTACTCTTCACTGTGCCAGAACAGTACTTACCATAGTCACCCATGGGGCTAAGTCCAAGGACCATTTCTGATTCCTCATCTTTTATACAGCATGTCCGAAGCAGGGGCACAGTACATCATGCATCTCAACTTGAAACATTATTCAGTCAGCTACCGCATACCTACCTCTCTAGTTTTCCACCTCCCTCTCAAGCCATCCTTTCTTGACTTCCTTTTCTGGCCTATTTCCTCTCAGACTTTAAGTATGGGAGGGCCCAATGCTATCCTTACACCTTTTCCCTTTTCTACCCTGTTCTCGAGTCTCATCGCTATAAATATCTACCTGCTGACAACTACTAAATTCTTATCTCTAGACTAACTTCAGTTCTGATCTCCAGATTCATATGTCCAACTCAAAACATATGAACATATGCACATAATTTATCTGTTTTACTCGTTACTACATTTCCCAACATAAGGACAATCTCCAGCACATAGTAGATGCTCAACAAATATTTGTGGGATTGAGGGTTTTATTTAGTAAAGACAGACATTGAAAAATCAAGATGTTTGTAAGTCTTAGAGTAACAGTAACCTAGTTACTTCTCACTTCCTAGAAGGGGCTTCTGTGCAATTGATTCTGTCATTTACCCACTACACTGGCTAGACCTTTTTAGTGCCACCCTGTCTTGATCAGGGTGACTTTGAATAATATTCTTCCCCTTAATTAATCAAGGTAATAGATGTTGGGCTAAAATATGTAGCTCAGGACCTGGTATGTGATATGCACTTTGTAAGAGGAAGCCAGCCTCTCAACCTTCTCTACCCTTTTCTTGCCACAGGACCGCCTGGCCCGATGCACCATGCATTGCAATGACAAAGCCAAAGATTCAATAGATGCAGGGACTAAAGAGCTTCAGGTGAAGCGGCAGCTGGAGAGTTGTGTGACCAAATGTGTGGATGACCATATGCACCTCATCCCAACCATGACCAAGAAGATGAAAGAGTCTCTCTCATCCATTGGGAAATAGAAGTCTTTGCATTGGCTATTAGAGCTGATGGCAAGAATCTATTTAAAAAGAGGAATGAGAATTTTGATCTTTTAAGTGAAGTGTTTGAATGAAGAAATTGAGGACATCAGCAAGTTTATTTAAGGCACCTGCCTCTGGACACTGTTCTCTTGACACTACCTATTAATCCTATAAAGTAAATAGAAAAAAACTGGTGCTAAAATTTGGATCAGAACTAGCACAGGAGTGTTTTTGAGAGCCCACATTTTATGTGGCAAGTGATTGTCCCAGCAGGAGAGATTTCTCTTGTACCAAGCCAAAGCCCTCCACACCATATTCATAGTGCACAGGTACCTCTAACCTGACAGCTTCTCTAACCTGCCTGTGATCTGGTGGAGTGTGAGAGCTATTTCTGTTTATTGCCAACCTCCCGTTTACCACAAAGATTACCACACCATGTAAAACAAAGTCCATGTGGTCACTAATTTAGATGGGGAGGAAAGGGTGTCTGTGTCTTTGGTTGCTTGGTTTAGTTTTATATACCAGGTCATGAAGTTGATTTAAGCTATGGAGTTGGGAGAGAGGGTGGTTCAGATAAGAGCTTTGAATAGTCCTTATGGATTTATGGCCATGAAGATGTGTATGTTCATTACTTGAAATTCCCACATATTACATCTTTCACCTTGGAGACCTTGCAAAAACATATTACATCTTTCACCTTGGAGACCTTGCAAAAACATGAGAGATGATGTCCTGCTGGATATGCAGAAGAGCTTTCCCTCTCAGTGGCTGCCAGGAGGGGCCCTAACACTGTCTGCAAACGGAGTGACAGGACAGTCTCACAGCAACACTCTCCTTTGAAGAAACAGGCGTTTTGATTGTGCTGTATGCCAGATTCTGAAAATGAACATGAAAGAGGAACTGTTGGCTGGTTAATTAAAAGTTATGAAATACTGGACTTATATAAGCCTGTCTTTCACAGAACAATGCAGTAAAAAACCTAACCCAGCATTGTTTTACTTAATGACCCGAAATAACATTGCTGATGACACCATCCTTTGGCAATAGGAAGGTCAAGACAGGAAAACTAAGGAACTTGAGGAGCAGTGTTTCCTTTCATGAAAGGACAGGTATCCCACCCATGACCAGACCACTATACCTGGAGCTTTTGCATCCTGCAGTGCTCTACCCCAGCTCTAGCACCTTATCATTTTGATAAAGACCTAGTCTTTTACCAACTTATTACTTGAAGTGATTATATAGCCTGTCTGCTGTTTAAAGACTGTGATATATTTTCCTAGTGGTTTGGTTTTAAAAAATAAATAAGATTTAACTTTTCCTCTGTTTCCTTATATCGGGGCAGTGAATATAAAACTTTGTCAGGGCGCTTTTCTGTAATACGTGAATTAAGTTTCTCAAGTCCAAAAAAGTTGTAAGTAGTTAAGATGCAGGACTGGTGTACTTTAAGTGAGGGAAATTGAGGGAAGGCTAGAACAGGATAACTTAAGTCCATTAATATAAAATCTCAGAAACTGTCTACAAGGCTAAAAATAGTCAATAGCCATATCGGGTCAACTAGCCGAGTTCAATTAACAGGAAGATGAAAAAACTACACAATATTTCCCTCTAGAGAAAGCCCAACATCTAGAATTTTAAGTACCGAGAGAGTATAAAACGATGAGTCCAGGTCAGTCTTTACTATTTGCACTTATGTTGTCATTCCTGAACACTAAGAATGAATTGAATTTGGAAGAATCATCTACTACTTAGAATTGCCAAGATTTATCTATTTTGGCATAAATTGTATAACCCCCATTTGACTTGTAAATGTGAATTTTACTAATTTGGGCAAACAACTGGGAAAAGACCACTTTTCACTTTTAACGGCTTAACTTGAAAATCAATACTTTATATTAAAGGTGGCTTGCGTGTAGCATTTCACTTATATATATATATGGGAAGGTACGTGAAGTGGGGCTATGGAGGCAGTGATACAAGAATTGCAAAACTGTCAGGAATACACCTGGACTCTAGATTAAATTTTTAGGACGAGTACTCCTCACTCTTCTGGTCACAGATGTACTGGAGCCGCTGGCTTACTGACATCATGCTGTGGGAATACATGCCCAAGAAGTGGTAGACACCACCGTTTCGTTAGTGTTTGATACGAACGATGTTTAAGACGAACGATGCCAGAGACGGGACCGTTGTCTCAACAGTACAGACAACAAAGTGCGATTAAGGCAGACTAGGCAAAGCTGCCTCCCACCTGGCCAGTCGCAGGCGGTACCACCGGAAGCTGAAGACTGGCGGATCCGCTCCGATTTCATCCAAGTATCGCGAGGTGAGATGAGATCGCTGCCCACCCATTGGCTAACGGGGGCGATGACGTTAGACGCAAGACGCCAGGCCTGCGCGCGAGCGGGACGGAGGCCACGAATTTCGTCTGGAGGCATCTTTGAGCGCGGCGATTAGACACCATGAGCAAAGCTCACCCTCCCGAGTTGAAAAAGTAAGTAGAGCGCCGGAGCAGCCGCTGCTTTGCGTGCCCTGAGCTCTTCGCTTTCCCCTCCGTTTCCCGGCAGCGCAGCCAGCGTGCGTGTAGGCGTCCACAGCCGCCGATTTCCCGGCCCGGGTCCCTCTCTTTGGGGCCTAAAGTCCGCGCAGAAGTCGCCTGGGGGCCTGGTGGGCTTGATGACCAAAGACGGCGAAGGCGCCTCTGTCGTGCCAACTTGCCTCCCTGGCTGCATCTCCGGCCCCGTCTGTCCATGCACTCCAGCGCTACCAGAATGTTGAGCTTGTACTAGCGTCATTTGTAGATAATAAGGTGGCTGGAAAGGAGATCTGCAAGGAATGAAGAGTCTTAGGGTATCAGAAGAACCAAAAACATCCCTAATCGTTGAGTGTTGAAGCTGTTTCTTTGACCTTTAACTCAGAAATCCCATTGCTTTCATGCTTGTACTGTCCTTGAATAGCATGGATACCTTGTTTAAGAGGTATTTTCCCACAGCCAGTAAAATCAGCTGAAAGTAGAATATTTTGGAGAGCACCAAGGTATGTTAATATATTGTAAATCCCTTTCCAAATTACATTCTTAGTATAAGAAGCCCATCACTCTGGTCCTTTACAGCAGTGTAAGGTTTTTACTGTTTTAAATTTTATTATTTCTATTGTGTGAGTTTTAGCAAATTTTATTGACTGTCTACTTTGGTGTCTGTTTATGCTTAAATTAAATCAGCTACATAATCTTGATCCTTTTTTTTTTTCCAGATTTATGGACAAAAAGTTATCATGTAAGTTTTTTTAATAACTTATGTTTTATAGTTTTGATGTACAACTTCATACAAGTACAAAGCACAAAGAACCTCTTATCATTAAGCAGATTTTATCAAATTCTTAACTAGGCAGTTTTATATACCTAAATTTGTTTAGATTAACTTATTTATGCTTAAGAAGTGGGGTACAGGCCAGAGGTGGGGTGGAGCAGTGAGAGGATTTACCAGAGACAGAATGGGTATGGAAACAGGCAGATGGACTGAAACACACTGCTGAGGGGAGCAGCTAGCTGGTGAAACAGGAGAGGTCTGCTGTACCATGTGGGTCACCTCCCTAGCCAGGATCATTTTGTGCCACCGTGGCTGATAGCTTCATAGTGTTGTGCTTTAACCCTGTGCACCAACAGGGAGGCCCCTATTTACCTAATTTTGATGTTTAATGAACTTCACATTTCATAATTTCATACAAGCCCTTCCACACTTTTACAGAAGTAATAGGATTTCCCTGTTTTGTAATATTTGGATATCTATCAACCTTTGTTCCTTTAAGCAGAGGGTTTAAACAAGGACTGAAAGTCTGACCTGTGTGGTATTTGAAGTATATAGCAGTTAAGACTGTGGCTTTAGAAGCATGCAGCCTATGATTTGAATCGCAGCTCTACCTCACAGTAGGTAGAGCTTGAACTAATTGAAAATTCTATACTTGAATAGCCTTGAACTAATTGAAAATTTTATATTTCCATTCCCTCATAAAAGTTGGGATAATTCGGGACCCTCCCTGGTGGCGCAGCGGGTTAGAGCACAGCACTGAGAATTGGAAGCCACTTCCGCATGAGTTCGATTCCCGCCTGCCCCGGAGGTGGCCACATGGCGTGGCAGACCTCTCCTGGCCCGCCCGCTGCTCCCCTCAGGAGTGTACTTCGTCCATCTGCCTGTTCTGCTCCCCACTCTGTCTCTGGTGAAGCCTCTCACCGCTCCGAGCCTCTGGCCTGTACCCCAGTTCTGTATGTACAAATAAATAAATCTTTAAAAAAAAAAAAAGTTGGGATAATTCTTTACAATGTGGAAGTAAATATAAAATGTTTAGCCCAAGTGCTTAGCGATAGTTAGGTGGATTTACATCTCAAATGCCTGGGTTTTATACCCCCCCTAACTTTTTCAAGTTTCCTAGATTTTATTCCATAAAATTTGCTCTTACTCTCTTTATTTTTGTTCCACTTAACTTTTATTGGAAAGTCAGTAGTATTACTAAAACTTCTTTCTCCATTCTTACAGTGAAGCTAAATGGTGGCAGACATGTCCAAGGAATATTACGGGGGTTTGATCCCTTTATGAATCTTGTGATAGATGAATGTGTGGAGATGGCAACTAGTGGGCAACAGAACAATATTGGAATGGTGGTGAGTAAAAATAAATGATTTCATTTTTCTTTTAGAGTAAGCATTAGTTTCCCTTCTGTCAAACTCCCATGTTAAATTAAAGTTAGACAAATTACAGACAAGATTAGACCCTCCAGTTACCTTTTAGTTTAATTTACAGTCATTCATCAGCAGTGATAATATCCTAGTTAACTACACGTAGTTTAGATCTGAATCTAATAAGAACTCTCTAAGGTCTTTGGGCTTGAAATAGCTGCTGAAAATATGTCTTGAGTTTTAGTCTATGGTAGGGAACCTATGTCAGTTTTTGTTAAAGTAATAGTTCTCAATCTTAGTTGCATCTTAGAATCAAATTAGTTTCGGTGCAGCATAGGTTTTTTTTTTTTTTTTTTTTATTGTATGGCAAAGATTAACCACTGATGTAGAGCATTTATGAACCCCTGAGGAATTTTACAAAAATACATAACCATGTCTAGAGTCCACCCCAGAGCAACTGAAATTGTATCACAGTGGCGATATCTTTATTAGACCTTTTTGGATAATTTTAATACTTAGGATTAACAGCTACTTAACAAAAAATAAAAGCTGTTCATCAAACCAGCATGTTTATGAATTCTTAAATCTTGTTGAAATGCTGTGCAAGTCTTAATTAATACAGATTTACCAGTTCGTAGATCACACTTTTCTTAATTGTATATATATATATTGGTTTATCACACCCAGCTTTAAATATAATCAACGTAAAGGTCACAAGTGATGACTATAATGACTGCCATTCACAAAGAAGAAAATAGAAAAGATCAAATGCTGAACTTTTTTTTTTTTTAAAGATTTATTTATTTATTCATACAGAACTGGGGTACAGGCCAGAGATGCAGAAGGTGAGCGGATTTACCAGAGACAGAGTGGGGAGCAGAACAGGCAGATCAACGAAGTACACTGCTGAGGGGTGCAGCGGGCGGGTCAGGAGAGGTCTGCCACGCCATATGGATCTCCTCCGGGGGCAGGCGGGGATAGAACTCATGCGGAAGCGGCTTTAGATTCTCAGTGCTGTGCTTTAAACCACTGCGCCACCAGGGAGGGCCCTAAATGCTGAACTTTTAATAATAGGAGCAAACATTTCTACATTCAATAGGCCATAGTGGTATAACTACAGAAGAAAAGCATTTGGTGTCTGTCAGTTAAAACCAGACTTTGAATCCTTCACTTACACAGGACAGTAACCCCAGTTAAGTGATAAGTTTAAGTTTCTTAGAAAAGATAAAAAGGACGATAGACCTTTAGCAACTTATGATACGTAATGACCTCTTGGAAGTGGTAATAGTTCTAATTGTTAGCACTAATTTTTCACCTCAGTATCATTTTTAGGGTTGAACTCTTTCCAAGGGGTGTGTTAATTAATGTTCATGTGTATTTCCATTATTATATTTTCATAAGCAAATTAATGGTTGGGACTGGAAAAACTTTGGAGTCTAAATATGAGACTGCCTCCATATCTTACCAAGTAACTTGTAAAACTTGTAAGTCAACCATTTTCCTTTCAAGTTGTAACTAAGTAAAACTGGTGACTCTTTAGCAGCCAGATTCTTTTTTAAATGGTTTTAAATACCCCCAGCTTTCCTTTCAGTCCTTTTACAAGTAAGATATCTTTGTTATAATAAAGGATAGATTTTTAAGTTTTGTGTTTATAACTTAACAGATTAGTTTTAAAAGGATTCAAGACAAACTTGAGTTCCACAGTTCTTAAAGATTTATTTATTTATGCGTACCAGAACTAAGGTTCAGGCCAGATGTGCAGAGGGTGAGGATTCACCACAGAGTAATAAACAGAACAGGCAGATTGAAAGCACACTGCTATGGGGTGCAGCGGGCGAGATGGGAGAGTTCTGTCTGCACCATGTGGGTCACCTCCTTCGCCAGGAATCAAACTAGTGCTGCAGTGGCTGTGAATGGCTTGATAGTGCTGTTCTTTGACCCCCTTGTACCACCAGGAAGAGTCTCTGACATGGGAATTTGATCAAAGAAGAAATGAGCCTTAGTGCAGGATCTTTCAGAAGTCTTCTTCAAATTTTGATTGGCTTAGTTTTCTTTACACAGAAGTTGATGAGAAGTGTCATCCCAACTCATTTAAATAATTAGCACCTTCTTGCTGTGTTAGGCAGGCTGCTATTCTAGCTCTGATATTTTGGACTTCAAAGTTTGTATTAGTAGTCTTATGTCTTAGAGCTGAGTTAACAGTACAATTCAAATAACTTATCGGTTGTCTTTAATGAAAAGACATTGTAAAGAATATGCAGAAATGGCTTTTTTTCTGAGATTAAAAGAAGGAAAACAAATGTTTTTTACAAATTGTTCCCCAAAGTAATAGTAGTTACACTGACTTCATTCTTTTCTTTTTCAAGTTGGTTACCCATTGAGAGCATTGAAATTACATACTCTTAAGAATGCCTATGCTCTCAAAAGGAGATAATTTTAGGATTCTGTCAGCTGGATAGTTACCTAATGCTTCAACTAGTCTCTTCAGTGACGGGCCCATAGTTGTCAGTAGTTACACCTTTTTTTTCCTAGTTAAAGAAGTCAATTTATTTGAAAAAGAATGTTTATTTAAAAGAGAAAAAAAATATTTATTTGTGCATACAGAACTGGGGTACAGGCCAGAGGCTCAGGGGCGGCGGTGAGAGGCTTCCCCAGAGACAGAGTGGGGA